ATACATATATACATATATACATATATACATATATATATACACATATATACATATATATGTATATATACACATGTATGTGCAATGTTAAAAATGAAAATGTAAGGACTTACTCGCCCTCCATGGCTCGCTGTTGCCCGCCGCTTGCAGCAGCCCACCCCAGGGTCTCCTCTCTCTCTCTCTCCCTCTCTGTCTCCCTCTCTCTCTCTCTTTTATCCCCCTTTCAGGAAACGCTCGCTCACATTCTCTCTCTATCTCCTCTCATTTTCCTTAATCTTCCCCTCTCTCCACCTTGATGTCGTTTCGGTGTATCAGGATAGGCTTGAGGTTGCAGCAGCCATTTTCCGCTGGCAGCATCCTCCCTCCCTCTCTCTCCCTCCCTCCCTCCTCTCTCTCTCTCTCTCTTCAAATCACTCCCTCGCTTGTACCCTCTCTCTCTCTCTCTCTCTACCTGCCCTGTGCCAACACATCCGCACTAATCATTGACAGCATCGTGGCTTTAGGAAGGACTATATGGTTTGTCAGTGGCACCGTGTGATTTAAAATCATTGAGAGCCAGTGACTGATGTGGATGTATGAGCAGCAACGTGGGTGGTTAAATGAAAAGCTGTGTAAACCTTCCATGACCTCCTTCTATTCTCAAACAAATTCTATAAAGCTATTTTAAATATATTGATAGGTAAAAACATTATGTTTCCTACATTGCATCGTTGCTGCCATTTCTGTTCCTTTTTTAATTATACACAAGCACATGATTATTTAATTTAAAAAAACAGTGTGTATGATGTAGTTTTTCTTCATAAACAGGAAAGAGGACACATTCTGTTCCAGCTAGTGTCCTTCATAGGATCCTTGTGTTGAGGTTTCAGCACCATGGACAGCAGCACCTCTTAAAGGAATAGTTCACCCCAAAAAGAAAATGCACTCAATATCCACTCACCATTATGCCAATGGAGGGATGGGCGAAGTGTTTAAGTGCACAAAACACTTTCGGAGTCTCAAGTTTAACAGCGTTGCAGACAAATCCAATCCAATTGAAGTAACTGGTGACAGATTCTTCAAAAAAACCCTGATAGAATTAAAACACAACATGCCTCCATACTGCTCCTGTGGTATCATCCAAGTGTCCCAAAGCCCTGACATTTAAATTCCACGTGAAACAAGGTCATTTACACCATGTTTTTAGCCTAAATGTCCTCTTTAACACCTCGGCCAACGCAGCTCCGGAGGAGGATACATTTAGGATCATAACATGGTGTAAATGACGCACCTTCAGATCAAATTTGGATGTCGGGGCTTGCGAACACTTGGATGACACTGCAGGAGCAGTATGGAGGCATCTTATGTTTTCTTATCTTGATTTTTTACATTTGATAAGTGGTCACTATTTACTTCATTTGTATTGGATTTGGCTGCAACACTGTTTACTCCTGAAACTTTACAAGTGTTTTGTGGACTCAAACACTTCACCCACCCCTCTATCGGCATAGTGGTGAGTAAACAGAGTGAATTTTCTTTTTTCGGTGAAATATCCCTTTAAAGACACAGCAACATTTGTGTAATCAGTAAAATATTAAGTGTCAAAATACAGGGCGATATGAAG